TCCATACCCCTGCCTCGGGCCAGTAGGAGATTGTAAACACTTTCTTCCAGATAGACTGTCTATAAACCAGGCAGCTTCATGCATCCTTTGTGAAGAGACCCAGAAAGATGTGGTAATAGCTCACTGTTTTCTCTTTGGGTAATAAACACTATTATCAAAGCAACTTGGGTAGAAAAGGGTCTACTTTAGCTTACAGCTTGTAGTCCATCACCGAGGGAAGATAGGCAGAAAAACTTAAGGCAGGAGCTTTGAGCAGAGCTGTGGAGGAACTCGACTCAGCTACCTTTCTTATACTTACAGGCCAATCTGAATAGGCATGGAACTGCTCACAGTGGGCTGGGCCCTCCTATGCCAACTAGAAACTAAGAAAATGGTTAATAGAGAAGCCCACAAGGGGGCGGCCTACAAGTGCAGACTGCAGGGACAGGAAATGAATGGGATTGAGATACATGATGAGAAAGACAGAAAGAATAAATAAAAGGAAAGTTAAAAAAAAAAGTAGAGAATCCCACAGGCCAATCTGAAAGATAGAAATAAATATTGATAATACTGTGGTTGTGCATGTAAGTAATAAAGGAACATATTAAAAACAAAAAGAATAAAAACTGCATACACATACTGTATCAGCTGTCTTTTACATTCTTTTAAGTACTGTTTATTGTGATAAAATACATTAGTCATAAAGTTGGCTATTTAAACTATTTTAAAAAATTAAGTTGTTGTATGTGTGTGTGTGTTTTGTCTCCACGTATGTTTGTGATTTTTTGAAAGAAAATGACCCCCATAGGCCCATAGGGAGTGGCACTGTTAGCAAGTGTAGCATTGTTGAGTAGGTGTGGCCTTGTTGGAGGAAGTGGTCGCTGGGAGTGGGCCTTGGGGTCTCAGATGCTCAAGCTACACCCAGCCTGTTGCTGTCACTTTCTGCTGCTTTCAGATCCAAATGTAGAACACTCAGCTACCTCTCCAGCACTACATCTACCTGCCTGCTGCCTTGCTGCCCACCACGATAATGGACTAAATCTCTGAATTGTAAGCCAGCCACCCCAATTAAATGTCTGCCTTTAGAAGAGCTGTCATTGTCATGGTGTCTCTTCAGAGCAATAGAAACCCTAGCTAAGACAATGTCTGGGCAGCATATATGTACCTGGTGCTTGAGGTAGGTGGTCAAAAGGAGCCTTCAGATTCCTTGTTTGTGCTTTCTAGGGGAGCCCAGGCAAAAGAAAGTTGCATATGTGCTGCTTCCTGTAACTGCCATAAGCCTCTCTGTCCATCATGAACAATGCAAACATTTTTAATGATGGTAGCATAAGACAGACTCCAGAGCCATGCTGCTTGTCAAATGACAGTTGGTTAAGGAACATCGGATAAGTTATTCAGCTTTTGGCTGTCAGTATTCCTACATATAAAATAGTGGTAATAGTAATAAGCCTCATTTGTTAGCAAAATAATTGAAGTTATTCAGATGCAGTGCTGCTTTTTTTCTAGCAACAGCACTGATAACACTTCATTGTGTTTTCTGAGGTTTTTCACTATAACAATAAAAACTAATAATTTCTGCAACTTTTCTAGTGTTAAATAATGCATTGTTTGAACTGCCTTGCATGAACTGGGTTCCCCAGGCCATGTGTTTACCGTGTGAACCATCTGTGTAAAGTGTGTCTGATTTCAGATGTCCTTAGACTAGTTTCTGAGCCCAAATACCAGCTGTCTATGGATATGGCAGCACTTCCCAGCAGCCATTGCGAGCCTTAGATTACATGTGAATCACAACCCCTTCCCCCAAATGAAAGTCCTCGGGGCACGAGCCAGTGCTTTTTTTTTATTAACATTTTTTTCATTTATTTTATACATTAACTGCAGTTTCCCCTCCCCCCTCTCCTCCTGTTGTCCCCCACCCTCCACCCCACACCTCCCATCTACCACCTCCCCGCCCACTCCTCCTCTAGTTTCAGAAAGGGGCAGGCCTCGCTTGGGCTTGAGCATAGCATGGCATATCAAGTTGAAGCAGGACCAATCTCCTCCCCCTGTATCAAGGCTGGACAAGGTAATCCAGTATGGTGAATAGGTTTCCAAAAGCCAGTTAAGCTCCAGGGACAGGTTCTGATCTCACTGCTAGGAGCCTTACAAATAGACCAAGTTTCACAACTGTCACACACGTGCAAGGGGCCTAGGTCACTCCCATGCAGGCTCCTGAGTTGTTGGTTCAGAGTTCATGAGCTCCCACGAGCTCAGTCCACTGTTTCTGTGCCGACCCCTCTGTCATGACCTTGAACCCCTGCTGCAGCCATTGCTTTTTGTTCTTCATGATATCTTTAGTAATTAACAAATTAACTATGTGTCAGTCGTAGTACTTGAATATTAAATGACACTGTAACGACATATTTCTAGTATGTTTGCCAGAACAGGAAGTATATCTGTAACATTCTTTTAGTGAACTTGCAAATGCTAATAGACGCCTACATAAACTGGTCATCACACGTGGGACATTTGGTTAGGAGGCTCACACAAGTCTGGGTCTGAGTCTGTAAGAGTTGATACTCATAATGCATTGCTGTAATATAAACTTACTCATCCATCCCCACTTTTTAAAAAGTAAACATGTTCGGTATTCCAACTGTGTCAATAACCAAAGGGCAGAAATGGATCCCACAAGAAAACAAACACTTGGCCTTCATAATTAAAGTCAATATGAGATGAAGGCCCCCAAAAACAGGCAATCACCTGGCCCCTCTTAGATCATGCCTTGACCATCCACACTTCTCCACTTAGATCACGCCTTGACCATCCACACTTCTCCTCTTAGATCACGCCTTGACCATCCACACTTCTCCACTGTGGGACAAATAGCTGCCTTGCCAGGGATCACCTGCTTAGACTTTTTTATGAAGCGTGACTTTGGTGCTGGGTGAGGAAGCCCAGTCAAGCAAAACCGTGCAAATTAATTTGGGTTTAAGTTACCAAGAGTATATCCTAACCACTTGCTTGCAAAGAAATTGTAAGGAAAATTGAAACATCAAATGTCATATGAACAGAAAAATAATTGACTACTTTGGAAGCCATAAAATTGGGCCCTTCTGGGAAATTAAACTCAGATTTACAAGAGGAGACCAAGTGTAAGTAGAACTGATGAAAACAGACATAAGAGAAACAACTATCAATTTGAAAGAGGGGCAGTTTAATGTCTATTATGAGTACCTATGCACATGTTGTAGAGATAAGTTTTTAGGGACAAAAAAAAAGAGGATGTCGTGTCTTCTACCAGGATTACATGTGATAGCATGCAGTAGGAACATACTCAGTAGTAGGGTTGATGGAAGGAAGCATTCTGGTGTGTGTGTGTGTGTGTGTGTGTGTGTGTGTGTGTGTGTGTGTGTGATTTTCCAGGCATAATAATATGGATAGAAGATGTATCATCTTGTTCTCTAAGATATAAATACATATAAATACCTCTCTTATAAGATGAGACACTCACCAGCCTTCCAACTTCTCTGGGATTCTTAACTAAAAGTGTTTGGGGGAGGATATTTTCCCCTATTTCCAAAGCCTGTGGGTTCCTAACTATAATGAATTGGACCATTCTATCCATCACCTGGCTTTAACACTTGACACCTTTTCTACATTGCATCATCCCCGCACTGAAGACTGCCCCATATTTCATGCTCCCAAATACACCCGACACCAGCTCTGTCATATGAGACTTTTCCTAAATAGTCAGATGATGAATGGGTCTCACAGTGTAGCATCAATCACAACATTAACTTGAGTATAGTTAAGTATCACTTAAGGATTGGGCTGTGTTTAGAATGAAGTTTTGTTGTGTGAGTACCATGGAGTACATTGACACAAGCCTAAATGACAGAAGTTATTATACAGCTAGGTTGTATGGTACATAAATAGAGCATAGCCTGTTGTCCCAGGGCCATGATAAACAAAACATGGCATTGCCTCTAGCATAAGGGGAGATGTTGTGATAAATAGACAAGGTAAGCCTGAGATGTTGCTGATGGGATCACATGACAGACTCTTTTTCAGAAGTGTTTTAAAAAGTGGTTATATTATAAAATAAGAATATGTTACAGAGGTGGTAAATACTCATAAATCAATAACATATCACTTATTATTCTCATAAAGTACCATATAGTATATGTAATAAAATATACTAGAGTCCTATATGACTGGTAGATAGTTCAGGACGTTGGCTTACGACAGCATCACCACAAACACGCAGCTAATGTTTGTGCTCACACTAACAGCTATGCTGTCTTTAAAGTAAGGGCATTTTCAATTGCATTGAAATCATATGAGGTCACTGTCATATCTGTGACCCACTGATGAGACATGGCTGTGTGGCACATGACTGTGTTTAGATAGTCGTAAGTCTTTTACAATCCATTTAACCACTAAATTATTATGGGTGTCATGATTTATCTTTTACTTTCTTCTCCCTTTAAGCTGAATTCTTACCATGGTTTGTCTCCAAATCTCCATTCTTTAGTTAAATTTCTCTGTCTTATAATTTTTATTCTATTCTAATAGGGTATTTCCTTCGGTTCTATTGTTATTGTTTCTTGAAAAATGGAGAGACTATTTGTTACTTGCTTTAGATGGGATTGGTCCAATAGGCCAAGGAACCGGGAGATACAGAGCAGAGAGAACCGTGTTGTGACTTGAAAATGATATGTCCCCCATAGGCTCATGTGTATGAACACTTGACTCCCAATTGCTAGTGCTGTTTGGGAAAGGAACCTTTAGGGAGTGTGGCCTGGCTGAAGAGAGTATGTCTCTGGGAGCGGGCTTTTGGGATCGGTCCACTTCCTGTTCTCTCTCTTTCTTTCTCTGTTTCTCTCTCTTTCTTTCTCTGTTTCTAGCCTGCAACTGAAATGTGATCGCTCGTCTTTCTGACTGCCAGACCCGAATCACACTCCTTCTGCCATGCCTTCCCTACCAGGGTGGACTATAACCCCTCTGGAACTGGAAGTCAAAATCAATCCTCTCTTCTCTTGATTTGTGTCAGGATATTTTTATTACAGTAACAGGGAAACAGCTAATTCAAACAGTTTCCAAAGTTAGGTCTCTTTTGCCTGAACTCTGTGTCTGTGGGCAAGTTAGCAATGTCTGAACTTCTTTATATTCAAATTGAAAATGGGGCAAGACTGGATGACTGATAAAGAAAAGAGGTTTGTTCTAGTCCACAGACCTGGATCCCCAGATGGTGACAGGATGATTTCTGGCAGAGTCCTGGGACACTCAGGGTATCATCTGGGGAAAGACAGAAAGCACAGAAGTGAGAATTCTCACAGCACCGCAATCAACATTCATGGGATGAGTTCCCTTGATCTAATTGCCCATCAAGATCATTCCCCTCATCTGCTTCACTGGTCAATCTAGTCTGAGCATAAGTTACAGTGGGAACAAACCATCTTCAAGTCACAGCAAGATCTAAAAGTCTGACCCTTGACAACATTAGCTAGGGATATAGTGATGATCATTCCGCTAAGCTGGATCAGGGGCAACCATTTCTATGAGCTGATGTTCCACCCTGAGTGTGATTCTGGGGACCACTCTGCCCAAAGCAAAAACTAAGACATGTGGCTTAGTGGCTGTGTAGGTGGAGACAACAATATCAATAACCCTCAAAATCTAGTATTCTCCTAGTGCTCATGAAATGCATAGTTTCTTGAGGGGGATTAGTTTAATGTAGGCTTGGGCAGTAGAGCACAGGTTCTGGACTAGAGTACAGTTTGAAGCTCAGCATTCCTGCAGCAGAGTGGTGTGGGTCAACCAGCCTGCTCAGTGGAGCTTTTATAGCAGCAGAGACTTCAGTTTCCAGTTTCTAAGAGTCTATATGTTCCTTCTTGCCCTGTTTCCTCTTACCTTATCAAAATAGGGTTTCAGCAGCTCGAGAATGCAGGTAGGTAGGGGCCCCTCTAGCCACTGATTCCTTCCATATGTGTGCTATTTCATTTTCCAAGGGGCCCTATGGTTTTGGAAAACTACTTGTCCAGTGTAATCACCTACGAGCTAATATAAACTCAAGCTTTGCTGTAATTTATTAGTCACTGACATGACAGAAAGAAAAGGGGTTTAGAGAAACCAAGAAAACAGTCCTTTGAGAGATTCTTATCTGAAGTTCATTTGAACCTGTTTGGGTGTTGCACATCAGAGCAGCAGTCTAATTTCTATCAGTATCCATGGAGCATCCTTCACAGTGATGTGTTAGAGCTGATAGGGTGTGAATGAGACCACATTACCCAAGTGTCCCCAAGAGGTCAATTTCAGAATCTATGATGCAAGGAATACTGGTGTTTGAATCTCTCTCATGAGGAATTAAAGTACTGAGCTTGTGTTAGCCTTATTATATAAACTCCGAATTTGCTAAAATATCTTTGAGCAACAGAGTTGATATGCTTTAGAACAGATGGATTCTTCTCTGTAGTCAGAACAGCCCTCATATTTGTGCTGGGGAGTTTCCTAAATATCTCCAGGCCTCACCTTGCAAAGGTCAAGAGGTATAAGCCAGAGCAGAATCTCAGTCATTCGTGAAGCTGTGTGTGCTGTGTGTGTGACACAGTGGAGGAAAACCCCTTACTCTCACAGAGCTGAAAGACTGGCAGATGAGATAGACATACCACACACACACAATCAGAGAGAGAGTGACAGAAAGAGAGAGACAGAGACAGAGAGAGACAGAGAGACAGAGAGAGACAGAGAGAGACAGAGACAGAGAGAGAGACAAAGAGAGAGGGGAGAGAGGACAGTACAGTCATTGCTCTGTATCACCACAGGATTACTTCCAGGTCCCCCATGAAGAGCAAAATCTGAAGCTGTCTAAATTCCTAATATAACATGGTACATACACCGTAGTATGTAACTTATGGATATAATTCTAGACACAGACATTTCTCTATTTCTGTGGGATACACATTCATGGAGTGAGCCAACTCATGATTAAAAGCTTTCTGTTGCCAGTTGGGAGGTGGTGGTGCACACCTTTAATCCCAGCACTCAAGAGGCAGAGACAGGAGGACCTTTGTGAGTTCGAGGCCCGCCTGGTCTACAGAGTGAGTTACAGGACAGGCTCCAAAGCTAAAGAGAATCTCTGTCTCAAAACAAAACAAAACAAAACAAAAACAAAAAACAAACAAAAAAAACAAACCAAAAACAAAAGATATGCACATTGTATTATTTCATTATTTATAATGTAGAAAGATTTCTAGTATGTAGAAGGATGTGTGTGGATTGTATGCAGATATGCCACATGATGTAAGGAACTTGAGCACCTGAAAAATCCACTATCTGAGTATTTCTGGATTCCTCCCCTGATTCCAAGAGACTTCTATACTTTAAGTCATCTCAGGATTGCTTACACTATCAAATCTCATGCCACTTGCATGGACGCAGAAGAATACTAAACATATAGCAAATTCAAGTTTATCTTTTGGGAACTTCTTATAATTAAAACAAACATTTTCAGGTTTTAGTTGGTGGACTTGAGGAATATGGAACCCATGGATGCAGAGGGCTGAATGTATGAAGAGAAGTCTATCACAGTCATGTTTAATTTGAGCCTCCAGAGAGTCACAAAGTCACGTGCAAGTAGAGCTTTTGAATGTGAGTAATTAATAATTAAGGAGGCAGTGTAAATCATGTGAGTGGGTGCATGTGCTTCCTGGAAGGTAGTGGTACCTGTGGGCTCATACTGATGAGTCACTGATTATCCCACCCCTTTTTTTTTATCAATTTGAGTTGCCTGAAGCTAATACCTGAGCAGTGATGTTTGAACCAAGATACCACTTACCAGATAAAGGAATACTGTGGGTGGAGCTGGTCATCTTGGTTATGAGGTTGTGACCTTGGCATCCTTAAGGCAAGTGATTGGTTGGCCAAGAATTGTTCACCAAACTGAGGAGAACAAGATTTTATGCATTCAGGAAGTAGAAGTTAATGTAATTTCTGGGACTAGACTGCAAGAAAACCTACAAATCCTAGACATTTATTTCATTGATTACTAAAATTATTTTTAAAATATTGTCTCCTTCTTTAAACTACAAAAGCATCCTGTAGCCCTATGGCAGCTCATATTCATGAAGCCCAGTTTCTCTTTCTTGAAGGCTTACTGTATATACACTGAACCTGTCTGGCAGTTGTAACTGTGATAAAATGGTGTGCAGTTGTATCTGAGGTACAATAGTGTGATTAATCACGTACATGCTTACTGCAGGATTGCTCATTCCCATCAGCTAGGTCATGACCTTTCCCAACAGTACCGTGTCCTTGCTCTCCATACACTGAATATTTCTTACCCCTTAAAGTAGTTTAAGATAAAGACAGAATAAATCTAAGCAAACATGGCACATTGGATAGCTCCAGAAGCACCTTTAGAAAGGGCACGATGGCTTTGGTAAAAAAAAAAAATAAAAAACCCTTCCAAAGAAAATTGTCAATATATTTGATGAAGCCTATTTCATATCAACTTTGGAAATTTGAGACAGCTATAAATAGACAAGCACCAGGCTAGTAGGCCTAATTCTAAGAGAAAACAGATCAGAGTTGTAGATAGGCCCAAGATGGATAGATATCACATGACTACTTACTGTGACTATTCAAGACCAATCAGCAACACTAGTGATTGTCTTATGCTTCCTTTCTGGCCAGATCAGGACAGATGAGAAGGTGGTGAGATACTGCAGGATAGCACTTTGAGTCCAGGGCAGCTAACAGTGTCCCTAGGTACCCAACAAGAAGACTGGTATAGAAAGTAAAAAGGTCTTTGTAATCTGGTCCACAGTCAAGGCCAGCTTTGTTTCTTACTAAATGATCTTGAGTGACTCACTGTAATGTGTAGTCTTCCAACCAGCCACCTGGGTCCTGTCGCCGCTTTTGCCCCCAAATAATACACAAGACACTGTATTAATTATGAAGCTGTTGGCCTTTTGCTTGGTTTCTTATCAGCTAGCTCTGACTTAATTATTAACCCATAACTGCTAGTCTGAGTATTTCCATGTGGTCTTCTCTTACCGGAGAAAGGGTCCGGATGTCTTACTTCTCTGTCGTCCTACATCTTGACTGACTGTGCCTCTGTTTCCCAGAATCTTCCTTGACTCCTAGTCCCACCTATTGGCCAAAAGTGCTTTGTTAGCATATACACAGAGGGACTTCCCCCATCAACTCACTTAATTTCTTTAATCTCAATTTCAAGACTTAGCAAATGGAACAGCAATTCTTTTCCCACATCTGTGAAAGGGCAAACCATTCTGTGTTGTTGTCATTGTCATGTCTGCTCTGACACTGGGTTTTGAATCAGAAGCAGAGAAAGAATTCTTAGTAAGAGACTTTGTAAAGGAATACTTAGAAGACACCGTAGGGAGTGAGAGAAATCTGCTGGGGCAAGGAGGTCAACAGAGGTGTGGTATCAGTTGAGGTCAACTCTTAGGCTTTGTTATAGCCAGAGCACTGAGTATGAATGCTATAAGAGTGTTGGTCCATTGATGTGGGATAATGCTCTTGTACACTATAAAAATTTGTCACTCGTTTTGGTTTAATAAAATGCTGATTGGCCAGTAGCCAGGCAAGAAATATAGGTGGGCTAATAGGCTAGGAGAATGCTGGAAAGAGGAAAACAGAGACGGAATTGACAGTCAGATGCAGAGGAAGCAAAATGAGAGTGCCTAAGTGAGAAAAGGTACCAAGCCATGTGGCTAAATATTTATAAGAATTATAGGTCAATTTAAGTTGTAAGAGTTTGTTAGTAATAAGCCTGAGCAATAGGCCAAACAGTTTATAATTAATATAAGTCTCTGTGTGTTTATTTGGGACTGAATGACTATAGGACCAGGAGGGACAGAAACTTCCATCAACAGTCCATCTTGGGGCAAGGGAATTGTGTTTTTACCTCATTCTGTCTTATGGTATTAGCTGCTGTCTTTTCCATGTTATGTTGCTATAGCATACTTTCCAAGGTTGAATGCTTTTATAAAGAAAAAGGTTTATTTAGCTTACATTAAGAGGTGGAAATTGCAAAATCAGACAGTCTTACCAGTTCAGCCACTGGGTAGGGTCTCCCTCAGCTGGTCTTAAAAGTATCAGAGACATAGAAAGGAACTGACTGCAGTGAAAAGGATCACATTGATGTCACAGGAATCCAGAGGGCTGGGAAGGGTGCATTTGGTTTGAGTATGTCCCCTGAAAGATCATATGCTGGAAGCTTGGTCCATAGTGTGGCCATGTGACAAACAGTAAAGCATATAAGTGGTAGGGTCCAGTGGAGGTAAGTGGGTCATTGGGGACACTGCCCTTAGCAGATATTGATAGAATCTTGGGGGAAAAGTTCTCTGAAATACAGTTTTTATAGAAAGCAATGCAGGTAAATGATAAGTGTTGCCCAGCTAGGCCCTCTTTGAAGCACAAGCCTCTTCTGCCTAATGAAATCATTTGCTACTCAGTGTTATGGGAGATGTCATTCTGTAAATATGTCTCTCTTATTGGTTGATGAATAAAATACTGTTGGTCAATAGGGAAGCAAGATAGATGGGACTAGATGACAAGGAGGATTCTAGGAAATGTAGTAGGAAGCTGCCATGTGATCCCAGGAGGAGAGGATGCATGAGTCTGGCATTCTTGGTAAGATAAGACCTTGTAGAAATACATATGTTAGTAGTTATGGGTTAATAGTTAAGACAGAGCTAGCTTATAAGAAATCTTAGTCACTGGCCAACAGCTTATAATTAATATTGTGTGTTATTTGGGGGCCGAAGTGGTGACAGGACCCAGGAGGGAATTCTGTAGTACCAGTGTCCCTAGACAAGAGTCCAGAAATACCAAGGAAGTCAAACTCACCCTCCTGGCAGCAACTATGGTTTGGATTTGGTTTTAGTGTGTCCCCTGAACGGTCATGTATTGGGCTTGCTCCATGAATGGTCATGTGACACAATCCAGGCACTGATTCTCTTTCTTCTTAATCACACTTTCTGAAGAAACTCAAAGAACAGCTATGGATGGTATGAACAAGACCCTAAACTGCTAAAGCTGACTCAAAAGCAGTAATAAATCCTAAATTTCTTCCTTTTCTTCCCCATTGCAATTTTTTCTTCCTTTTGGCTACATCTGGGTTAAATACCCAAGGCTGTGTTGAACTTCAGTTGGGGAGTTGGGACATTGAAGGGTCAAAGCCAAATTATTTTGAGGCTATATTAGTCCCTTAAATGGTCATTTATCACCTACTTCTATTTGTGACCTAAATTCTTTGTGACTCTTAGGTAAATCCTTTTGGAATGTGTGAAAGACCCTTCACTTCCTCCAACTTTATGCCAAGAACATAAGCTGATCATTTCTGATATCTAGAGCACAGCCCCCCCCAGGCTTTACTGTATTTCATCCACCCAATGCTTCCATTAATGTATTTAAGAAAATCTTGATTTATGATAGTCTTTGTTATAAAAACTTCACAAAACTGTTACAACATTGGCACATGGTATTTGGGGCAACCTAAATCTCTGTTCCTGGATCAAGGTCATTCACTTTTGCTCCAAAATAAACTCTCTAATTCCCTTTGAGGTGAGAGCTGTGTTTCTTTGTGTCGACTTTCACCTTGGTTAAACAGTTCTGCTCTGTGGGTGTGAATGATGACCTGCCCTCTGGGAAGAGTCTTGGGCCTTTCTGGTTCCTATACCCTAGCTGGGTAATGGTTGGTGTATTTAGTCACATGCAGTGATAACGATAGTAGCAGTAACCAAAGAAGCCACAGTCTAGGCTTCAAGTATAATTCATTACCACTTTATCAGGAGACAACAAATCTATATCCTAATGTTGACCATGATTAAAAGTAGAAGTAACTTCTAGAATGGCTATTTCCTCCTGTGGTGATACTTTGTGCTCTAGCAAATAAAGCTTGTCTAGAGCTAGCCACTAGCTAACCATAGAGGTCAGGCAGTGATGGCACACACATTTAATCCCAGCACTTGGGAGGTAGAAGCAGGAAAATCAAGGAGTTCATGGCCACACTGGATTACATGAAGTTTAAACAGTCTAAAAGAGAAACAGAGCTCACACCTTTGATCCCAGCACTTGGGATCTCACTCCCTTAATGCCAACACTAGGGAGGTGGAAACAGGAAGAATATGGCTGGGCAGAGAGAGGATTATAGAGAGGGAGGAGACAGGAGCTCAACCCTTTTTGGTCTGAGATTTTTGTAGAGGTAAGAACTTTACTGGCTGGCAGCCCTGCTTCTCTGATCTTTCAGCTTTCACCACTTAATATCTGATTCTGGGTTTTTATTATTAAGACCAATTAGAATTCACATTATACCCTCCTCTGCCTGCTGCCATATGGACACCAGGAGCCCAAAGTGATCAGTAGTAAGGTTAAGGTGAGTAGGGCACCTGATATGCTTCCTAGGGGAAGCTTCTCACACAGGAGCCAGGACCCTCCTGATCCTCAAAACTTCATGCTGTAGAGTATCTCAGACTCCCAAGTAGGTCCTTGGGATGACAGAGAGGTGGGCATTCCTACTCCTTTCTTTTGGTTTCTAAACCTAGATATTGGAGTTCTGAGAACACAGCACCATATAGTGGCTGTTGGGTCTAGATGAACACTGCATCCATAAGGACGTGCCCTCCTGAATATATGTAAGTCTTAAGTTTGCAGATTGGTTACTTCTTTAGGAAGTGGTTTCTCTCTTCCATCAGACCAGCAGCTTCTGTGTGGTATGTTATATGAGAAGATTGATGGGCTCTGTTCATATGTGGATATAACCTGTACTCCTGGTACCAAGTGCCTCAGGTCAGGTTTGCTAAGCACAGCCCTGAGGAAGCATTTTAAGGAGAAATCTTTAAGGAGGAGGAAAGCTATAGTTTCAGATGAGCTCTGTATCAGCATTGCCCTTGAGCTTTGGAACCTGAATTGAACCTTTGAGTCTCCCAACCCAGGACTTACCCTTTGTATATTGACAACAGTCCTGAATTCCTGTCCATTCCTGGGGATAGCATTCCCAGATGTGATAGCTCCTACTAGGTGTTGACAATTTTGGGGAACAGTGTGTGTGTGTGTGTGTGTGTGTGTGTGTGTGTGTGTGTGTGTGTGTGTGTGTGTGTGTGAGTCACTGACAGCTCACACTCAGCTGGGCAATGGGTGTGCTGGCCCAGCAAAGAGTTGCATGTAACCTCAGCATTGACTCTGTCATATCTTGTAGCATGAGGTTGGTGTTATTCTAAGATTGAAGGTGTCCCCTCCTAACTTAAAAAAAACTAGGAAACTGAGTCAGCTGTTGAAATAGAACATTGGCTTCTCTGTACAATCACCCCATCTAGTAAACATCTTTGTTAAATCCTGACTGTGACTGACATCAGTGATATGTTTGGGGGATGTGGAAATAAATCAAATAATCTTGTTCTTCTAAGCACTATATTCTCAGCAGTTTATAGAAAGTTGTAACCAAGATTTCTATGTAGCAACACAACTTCCCCAGACTACCTTGCCATGAGACCATTTATCAGAGATGGACATTACATCTCTTGCAGTCACCAGATGTTCCCATATCCCTGCTGATAGCATCTCCCTCTGTCTGCTTCCTGGCCTCTTGATGGTTATTCTGGATGGTTCTGACTTCTCTGCCAGAGCTTTTCCCCTGACAATGTCAGCTTTAAAATTGGTCATAGCAACTTACATTTTGGAACACTTTAAGTACATTTAGTACTAAAAATGTTAAATACAGTTTTAACATAGAAAGTAACTTGTGAAGTTTGACTATTTGACATACCTTGTAGTACTTTTAAAAACAGATTTTTGGGTCTTGTTCCAGAATTACTGAGTTGGAAGTTCTATGGCTTAGGAATCTGAATTTTTTGGTACTCCTGATATTATGCACAGCAAATATGAAAGTCAATTGCTATAAAATAGATCATGCGTGACTCTTTTCTTGGTGACTGAGCAGGAAATGGCCTTTGAACTCCTTGAGCCACTCTGCTAATAGGCACCAGGCAGCATTGACCTGAAGGACAGCTTTATCCCATCCTCACATCATCGACATTTTGGACCAGATAATTCTTGGTTATAGGAAGACCATCCTGAGCACTGGATATTTGGTAGTGTCCTACTCACTATTATCACCAATGTCTTTACAATTTATGGCAACCAAATATATCTCTAGCCATATCCAAATATCCATTAGGAAGCAGGACTCATTATACATGCCTCCACCGTGGCCAAAAGCTAGTTGTACTTTATTTACTTCTTAATTTTAAAAAATACATAAATTTGATGATAAAACCCTTGCAAATAAATGAAAACACTACACACCAAAATTAAGCAGACTCAAAGTCAATACACCTCAATGAACTTCTATACCATTAGAACAGGAATTCAAAATGAAGCTGTGTAGCTTCACATTAGCTCATAAGCAGTAGTGGTACATGACATTTTCTGTCAGATAGAATCATATTTGAATTCTGACTTCATCACTCATAGGATGTCTAACATTAAGGAAAAAATTAATTCCCCATATCTTTATAATAATCCTCAGGGGATTGCTGAGTATGATGGTGCTAATATCTCTTTATGTGGGTAGCCACCTTCCTCCCTCTGAATTGGCTCTTGTCTTGTGTTCTTGTCAAATATTAGTATTCCATCTCTGTTGGTGCAGAAACCAAGTCAGCAAGTGTTTAGCAAGCTTCAAGCACTAAGAACACCTTTATCCCCAAAGCAGTTCTCAGCAGAGGGTGGTGGGACCCAGGACACAGGTGCTCAAGTACTTTGCTCCACAATTGGGTTTGCCCCAAGTGATGTGTACTGTATCATTTCTTCTAAGATTAAGCTCCAGGCATCTTAGCAATGTACTTACTGCTCATATTCTGTTGGCCCTCCCTGTCTGTATTTCCGGTATGTCCTATATAAGCCACTTGGGACAAAATTGGATCCTAACCTCAGGACCTGCATCAGCGTGGTGTTTTGACATTTGCACACTTGATGGAATTATTTTGGGTAAGGGTATGGAACTTTGGGATGTGGAACAGTGTTGAAAAAAGTGTATCACTGGAGGTGGGCTTTGACTATTTATAGCTCATCTCACTTCCAGTTTGCTCACTGCTTCCTGTGTGTGGTTGAGATGTAATCTCTTGCCTTCAGGCTCCTACTACTTGCTGCTATGCCTCTCTGCCATGATGAACTCTTACATCTTTGAAACCATAAGACAAAATAAACACCCTTGTCTATACATTACTTTTGGTCATGGTATTCTATCAAAGCAATAAAAAATTTTAATTAATATGTGGGGAAAAATCAAAATAGGGCACCAAGTTTCAGAGAGGCTGTCATTTGTACAATGTCAAGATCATTGTCTTCTAGCTTACAAGGGAAGTAAGAATCAGCCTCCAGTGTCAGGGAGACTACTCAGTTAAGGTGCTTTGGACTATTCTCTTCTTATTAATGCTATGCCAAATATAGCTATAAGGAAAGACCATAGCACAGAGGAGATCCTAGGTGCTTTGCATGCCTTGTTTCTCAAGGGTATCTGCCCTTGGGTTGCTCATAAATTGCTGGTAACATAAGTTGCTGGTGAGGTCATATACATAGGAAGCCAGCTGATCCCTACACTCAAGATTGGCTGTCTATCCAGCAGAGTTTGTCAAGCCTCACAGACCTCTACAAGAATTGTCATCGTATAACCTAGAAAGAACATGACAGACACACTCTCCAAATCAGGACCCATGGATTTTGTTAAGTCTTCACCAAGTGTTTTACATTTTATCAGCATAAACACAGAAAAAGCCTCTCCACCAGATGGGTTGCGTCAGATTTTTGTAAACACTGCAATGTTTTGGCAGGGTTACTGTTTATGCTGGAAAAATGCAATTTGTAAGGTACACACAGACAACCCATGTCCCCCCAGTGCACAAGGAATGGTTTATGTGTGATGTGGCCCATGCCTTCTGTATGGTGCTTTCTAATTTATCAAACACAATGTTTAACAGCATCACCTGAAACACTGACCGCTGCTTCTGCCCTGCTGCCACTTCATGGGAGCGTGAGAGATGAAATAAAGAACATCCTTGGACATTTCTTCACAGCTTACTCAAAGAAGAAAAGGCCGGGAGGGCGGCCAAGCCACACAGTGTTGTAACAAAATCGGGCCTTTTAATTAGGTGTGGGCAGAGCAGATATTGTCCTTTGCTAAAAGATAAGCATCCTGTAGTTTAGGTGGTTTCACAGTCATTGCCTGAGGACATTCACAAGGATGCTGGCCGGCTCTGATTGTTCTGGGAATGAATCAGCAAGCCTGGGAAGCAGCATCTAACTTACATAATTTCATTGGTGTCTTGTTTTCAGAGAGTATCTTATTGCTAGAATCAAGAAGCAAAGGGACTTTTAGCAAATCAGCCTTAGGCCTATTTCCAATGGGAGGAGGAAAGTCAAACATATGTCTACCGAAAGTTCTGGACCCAAGGGAAGCCCTGTGCTGGAGACTTGAGAGCAATTGCAGGATGTATAACTGAAGACTTATCCTTTGTCATGGTTCTGGGTTCTGCGGGTTGCTTAGAGAATGTAGGTGGAAAATGTCTTTCAAGTGTGAGAATTGAATGACAAAAATTATCCTTTTTGAGACCAAACACTCACATACTATCCAATCCTAAGGAAACAAAAGTGGGATGAGAAATAGGGGAAAAAGAAGGAAAAATAAAAGATAAGGCATTACTAACATTGTCACAGTTCCTGGAATTTCAAACCGGTTTTGTAATCACAGGACAGTCCCCGGGGAAAACAAACAGACCCAGAGAATCTGGTGAAGGACAAAGTGCCCATTTCCTCTCCCCAGCTGGTTGAGTCCAACCCTGAGAGTGGGGTGAATTCACCCATGCTTTCAGATTCATGTAACTTACTCCTGTTGTTTAGGTCATCTTCAGTCCTGGTGAAGTCCAATCTGGGTCACCATGTTGCTCAGGAACTCCCCCTCTACTCCAGGAAGGAGATGAAGGCCTGGCAGAATGTCCATCCTTGCCTATGAGCGAAGGAAAACAAGCCAGCACAGTTAGAAGACAAGACATGGGCTTTATACCCAGCTAAGCAGATCTGTCCTGTGGAGAGGTTTGTAAACTAAGCCCAATATAGAAAAGCGGTGTGGGGCTGGGCGGTAGTGGCACGTGCCTTTAATCAGCTCTTGGGAGGCAGAGGCAGGTGGATCTCTGTGAGTTGGAAGCCAGCCTGGTCTACAAAGTGAATTCCAGGGTATCTAAGATTGTTACACAGAGAAACCCTGTCTTGAAAATCAAAAAGGGGTGTGTGTAGAATACAACTCTTTTTTTCAGTGAGGGGCATGAAATGGAGAGACTACAAAAGAAGCCAAATGCATCTGAGCAGTTGCACAAATAAGTCTAGATTTTATTTGTGTTTCCATACCCACACGTTTTCCACATGTTTCACTATGACATTGATGAGCATATAGCAAATGTTCCTGTTCACACAGTCCAAGTCGCATAATTGATATTTTCCATCTGTTGTCATTCATACAATATTTAAGTTCTTAATTTGCTTATGAATCAGTCAATCTACCTATAAAAACTTCTCCTGTAAATTATTAGAGGTTGGCATTTATAGTTTTAGTCAAAAATAACATATCAAAAATACACAATACTTGCAACTTTGAAAAATGCATACTCTTGCACAATGCTGAATTCAGTTAATGTTGTCTCTATCTTAATAACTTATTGTTATGGATTCTTTGACTATATTTAAGACAAAATTTTAATTTCTTAAATTTGTACTTGTGGTTGGTATATTAATTACATATATTTATGACATACAATATGACATTGTAATACACATACACAATATATATGTATATATATATGTTACAGATGGATCAATTAGGCTCATAAACATGTCCATCACCTCTCATAATTCCCATTTATTTATAGTAAGAACATTTAAGATCCATTATTATAACAATTCTGAGCTCTGTTTTCCCGGTCAGCTCTGTTGCATTCTGCTATTTCCTTCTCATTGCACCCCAAAACCCCTACTCTGGCCAACTTTTCTAGTTCCTGTAGTTACTCCAGTATATTGTTCAAATCTGGGTATTTGGAGTTGGGAGTGTCCAATGAGAGAGAACATGTGACATTAGTCTTTTTGGGTTTAACTTTCTGAGTTATGTCACTCAATATGATCATTTCTAGTTCCATCCATTTACCTGCAAAGTTCATGTTTTCATCTTTCTTTAAAGCTGAATGATATTCCATATATGCGCCACACTTTCATTATCCATTTGCCATTTAAGGGACATTTAGATTGTTTCCATTTCCTAGCCATTATGAATAGGACAACAATAAACATGGATAAGCATGTATCTATCCAGTATGATGTTTAGTCCTTTGGGCATATGCCCAAGAGTACTAAAGTTGCGTAATGTGGTAGATTTAATTTTAGCTCTTTGAGAGTCCTTCACATTGATTTTCAAAGTGGCTGCACCAGCTTGCAACTCCACCCATAGGAAACGTGGGTTCCCATTTCTCTGCATCATCTCCAGCATTTGTGCTTGGCTGTTTCATTGGTCTTTGCTATTCTGAATGGGTAAGATGAAATCTCGAAGTTGTTTTGATTTGCATTTCCCTAATTGCTAGAGATGCTGAATATATATTTTGAGGTATTTCTTAAGCTTTTTTTCCTTCTTTTGAGAATTCTCTGTCTATATAACAGGACCATTGTTTTTTAAATATGCCTAAGAACTTTTAAATATAAGCTCATATCATCTCCAAAGAAGGATAATGAGAATTCTTTCTTATTTACATCCTTTCATTTATTTTTCTTAACATTACTCTAGCTAATTTTTAAGCACTATGTTAAATAAAAAGAATGTCTCTGGCTTTCCGTTTCTCTACATTTAGTAAAATACAGCCTGTAGGTTTGTTGTATGTAGTCTACCTGTCTTAGTTAGGGTTTCTGTTACTGTTATGAAACACGATGACCAAAAAACAAGTTGGGAAGGAAAGGGTTTATTTGGCTTATACTTTCACATTGATGTTCATTGCTGAAGGAAGTCAGGACAAAAATTCAAACAGGGCAGGATCCTGGAGGGAGGAGCCATGAAGGAGTACTGCTTAGTGGCTTGCTCCTCATGACTTGCTTAGTCGACTTTCTTACGGAACCCAGGAATATCAGCCCAGGGGGCACCACCCACCATGGACTGGGCCCTGCATCAATGATCACTAATTGAAAAAATACCTTACAGTTGGATCTCATGGAGGAATTTCCTCAACTGAGACTCCTTCCTCTCTGATGACTCTAGCTTGTGTCAAGTTTTTTTTTAAAAAAAAAACTGTGTTCTGATTCCTGCTCCCTTGATGCTTCTGATCCCAACATGAGTATATCAATATTTGACAACCTAGATGTCCCTCACCCGAAGAGTGGATAGAGAAAATGTGGTACATCTACACAATGGAGTACTATTCAGCAGAAAAAAATAATGGAATCATGAGATTCGCAGGCAAATGGATGACACTAGAAGAAACCATCCTGAGTGAGGTAACCCAGTCACAAAAAGAGAAGCATGGCATGTACTCTCTCATATATGGATTTTAGACATAGATCTGGGGAGTGCCAGCCTACAATCCTATGGCCAGAGAGTCTGGGAAACAGAAACTACATTTAGTGGCTGGTTAAGTACTGAGCTGAACTCAAGAAAGCCAGTATCAGAGAGGGAGGACTGATGATCAAAGGGATTAAGACTGGGCTGGTTTAACCCCCAGAAACAGCTGACCAGACAAAGGTTAACTCTTGAATCCCAGGCATCAGCCTGGGAATCCAGCATGGGACTGATCAAGACCCCCTGAATCTGGGTGTCAGTGAGGAGGCCTAGGTAATCTATTGAGCCTTGGGCAGCAGATCAGTACCCATACCAAGTATACACACGGACTTTGGACTCCCATAGAACAATGTGAGGTGCACTCTCACCCTGAACTCTTGGGGAAGGGTCTAGGCCCTGCCCTATATGAAATGACAGACTATGGACACCCCCATGGAGGGCCTCACCCTCCCTGGGGGAATGAGGGGATAACGGGGGGGGGGAGGGCACGGGAGGAGGGGAGGGAAAAGGAGAGGGACCTGGAACTGACTTGTGAAGCAACCTTGTTTCTTATCTAAATTTAAAAAAAAGAATAAAAAAAGAATAAAAAATGTTTAAATTAAATGTTTGTTACTTACTCAGGCAAGCCCACTGGAGCACAAAAGAAAGTACTCAGATGCCTGTACTTATGAGTAGAAATGCCACAAATAATAACCGTAAGTGAAAGCCAATACAAGGGCTTTGAAATGCCCACAAATAACCCACGCAACATTATGTTGAACTTTTTTTTGAGTGGATATAATTTACTTTTCAAAATTTTGCCAAATGTCCACATGATCAGAGCTGATGTATACTTGAGCAAACACATTTGTAACTAATGTAATTAAATTCCAAACTCAGATTTTAAAAGATTATTATTTCACCTGTGTGCAAATTATGTATTGCACTGGCTGTCAGTAACTTCTGAGACTGCGTGTTCTGGAGTGTTTGCCCACTAAACAGTAGTTACAGCCCACCCTGCAGCCCTGCTACTTCTGACAAATAAGACTACCCCATGAGTTTCACAACATCCTGAGAGTGTGGGGAGGTTGTCCCTGCTGGAAGTTCCCTTTGTCCACCACTATGATGCTCATGATGCTGAAGTTCACAATGGAAGGACCAAGACCACCGTTAATGTTGGCAGACAGCTGCAGGTGGTTTCTTGTGGTCACCCTATGGGCAAACTATGCAAGGAGTAACAACATAACTTGTAACTCAGTTACATAACTCTGCAGCTTCTAGAGGCCACTGTGCCTCTGATACGTAAGAGCAGAGGTTAATCAAGACTTCAGCGTCAGACAATGTATGTTTAAGTCTCATCAATGCACAGATTGCCCTTCCTTCCTTCCTTCCTTCCTTCCTTCCTTCCTTCCTTCCTTCCTTCCTTCCTTCCTTCCTTCCTTATCTCTCTCTCTCTCTCTCTCCCCCTCTCTCTTTCTATTTTTTTGTTTGTGTTTTCCAAAACCATTTCTCCATGTAATGGCCCTGGCTGTCCTGGCACTTGCTTTGTAGATCAGACAGGCCTTGAACTCACAGAGATCCACCTGCCTTTGCCTCCAAAGTACTATTAAAGGTGTGTGCCACCACACCTGGCTATGCTCCTTTATATTTCTACTTGCCTGTCTGCTGATTGGGTATGTTACTGACAAGTGCCACGTGGAATTGTTGTTTGACCTTTCAAAGCAACTTATTAGGGCTTGGTGGATGAACATGAACGTTTTCACCATTAAATTGTTTATTTCTCTCTGGGCTATTGCTGCTAAGTTAGGAGTCTCTACATTAGGAAGATAAAAATTATATTCAACAATTCTCACCAGAAGAAACTCAAGTTTCCCAGATGGGGAGGGGGATTTATTTCTCAAAATCTAGATTTGTAGAGTCCAGTCGGCACACATGTGAAGGGAGACTGTAGACCTCTGCTTATTGTTCTAAACATGTGGGAGGTTCGTGTGCAGTCTCCTAGCTTTGTATTCCTAAGGCTCCATATGTCTAAGTAATGACTTTGTTATGACTACTCAATACTTTGCTTTGTTCCTTTTTTATGTCTTAGTACTCGTGAAGAAAAGGCTGAATAAACATGTGTGTGTGTGTCCCACTAAGTTTAAGATAATCTCATCACTGATCAGACCTTAGCTAAGTTCCTAAGGTGAAGACGGCTGGTTTCCATCATCTTTTGTGCCTTGAAGTCTTTGACTGGGTTTTCTATTGTGGTATAAATATCTGAGAAACACTCATGGTCCTCGCTTCCCAGAACCATAAGAGCACCAATTGCGATCACTGCAGGTCCTGGGGGAACAATTTGCATGTGAGCAACTGATTAGTCAGCTGCTCTGTCCATGTTTATATGAACTTCATGTCAGACAATGCCTCATATCCTATGAGAGCCCTTCATTTCCATTTGGGGAGTTGCAAGAATTTGGCCTCCCGCAATAATCTGCCTTTTGAGCATAAAAACAGTGGGCAATATTTTCCATCCTTCTC